GAACTCAGCATACCTCTTGCTGCTTTCTCCTGAGTGCTGGGATTACAGGTGTGAGCCACCATGGATGGGTCTGGATTCCCACTCAGGCCTATTCTTACTGATTTGTTAGCACTTGGAGTTATTCTACCCATAGATCTTTCTTTTATTCCCATGATGCCATTGTTGGGATGTGCTCTTCTAAATTCATGTATTGGATGTCATAGTGATGGAGCTGTGGCTGTCCTGGAACTCACTCTGCAGACCAGGCTGGTCTCAAACTCGGAAGTGCTGGTCCTGAACTCACAGTTTCTAAACAAGTGTGATAACTGACTGTAGATGGTATCTCCACTCATCTAGTTTCCCTTTGTTCAGAATAATCCCAGGTAGGGTCTGGGAAAACTAATAGTCCTGTGATTCAGAAGAAAAAAATGGAAGCTGGCGAGCCTCCCACTGCCTGTCAGGAGCCTGGAATGCCCAGGTAGCAATCTTCAAGTTCTGACCATGTTCAAGTTCCTGGTCATGACACTTCCTAAAACTAGTTCTACCATTCTTTAGAAGTTGGTAAGCCAGAAAGATTTCTTCCTTCATCTAAATAGTCCACAAGGGTTTTGGGGTAATACAAGGTTTCAGGAAATGCAGGGTTGACTGAGCGGAGTTTAAATTCTTTTTGCCATTTTTGATACTTATCTTCTTTTTTTTTTTCCTTTTGAGGCTAGCCTGAAACTCCCTACATAGACCAGACCAGCCTAGACCTCACAGAGATCTGCTTACCTGTTTCATGAGTGCTCAGATTAGAGGAGTGTGCCACCATGCCTGGCCTACATTTTTAATATTTATTTTTTTATTGATACTTAAAAGATGAAAAAAAATGTACCTTGCTGGGTGGCATGTGCCTTTCTAGCATCTGGGAGGTTGAAGCAAGAGAATTACAACTTCTAGACCAGCCTGGGATACAAAGTGTTTCCTTGTTACAAAAACCAAAAACCCACCCACACCATAATGGTTTCAGTACATGTATAGTAATGTTTTGTTTACAAATTAAACGCCTTCAGGCAGGCACAGACAAGATAAAGGAAAATGTTCCTTTATCCTTGTCCCCAGGGCGCTGGATAGAAAGTCAGGGCAGGAGGAATCTTTCTTTATGAGGGGACAAGATTAGTTTGCTCCCTTTTTAGGTCCTGCCCATTTTAAAGACAGCATCCCACATTGCCCTTATCACTGCCATGGTGATAAGGACATGGCTGTTACCATCAGGAGAGCAGACACCCTGGGCAGAGATGAACCCCCTCTTTAATCTGGTCCTGTGATTTTCTGACAACACCTTGTGGAACCCCAGCTGGACAACAAGAGTGCTGCTGACCATGCTTCCTTGTGCCTTGATGGCGGCTCTGTCTTGAGTGTCCCAGCCTCAGAGAAGCCCAGCAGGCATCATTCATCACTCCCCTGGGATCTGTTGAGGGCCCGCCAGTGCCAGGTTCGGCTTCTCTCAGTCAGGGTTGCTGGAAGTTTAGTTGACCCAGTCATTTTCCTACTTACCGGAAACCTGAAAAACTTGTCAATGACCTTCCCATGACCTGGATGGCAATTTCTCAACCTGTCGCTGCCTGTCATATGCGAGCGCAGGATTGCTTCTCTTCTCTGGGTGTCTGTGCCCTCTTTGTGCTCGCTTGAACCTGAGGTTTCCTTCTTCCGCCCGCTCCCCCTCCCCCTTCCTTCGCTCTTTCTCGTTCTCCCTCCCCCCCCCCCCCCCCCACGTGCATGCACTGGGACCTGTTCTACAAATACTAGAGGAAAAGAGAAAGAACAAACTAAACAGAGCAGTGTGAATCCTGCAGGGTTTGGTTTTGTTTTGAATTTCCTGAATGAGGCTTTTGAATGGCACAGTATGGCTCCTTTCTAACCTGTATTTTTCATGTCCTGTCTCCAGGTGCAGCGGCAAGTTTGAGGCCCCTTGGCTGGGAGCCCGTGGTGAAACCTGGCTGCGGCTGATGTCTCCTCTGCATCCTCAATGGGCAGCTGCTGGGGGGGGGGGGGGGGGGCAGCGGCGGGGCGGGGCCTGCAGGGTTGCTGAAGTTCTTTGCCACAGTGATGGAAACTTGCTGGGAAGGAAGCGAACCTTCACCCAAGGTGGCCAAGTACAGCGACCATGAAGCGGGAAAAGTGGGCGGGACTGGGAAGAGGGGGTGAAGGGGGGGTGTCTCTGGGTGTTGGGTTTTGAAACAATTTCCGTCTTGACCGAAGCCAGGGCTCTTTGCGCAGGGTACGTGATGCAAGGCTGAGAAATTCCGGTGGCCTTGGATGACATTTCAGTCCCTTTCTCTGAGTCACACTTCTGGGAGGGATCTTTCTTTTCTCACCAGAGGCAAGCTGAGGGGGAAACGGCGTGGACAGTGGTTTGGAAACATGGAGGGAACGGGCTCGCTTACGTTAGTAGTAGGAGAGCAGCAGACATGCAGGAATGGAAAGAAAAGCAAGAGGGAAGAAGGGATGTTCCGGAGGTAGGGATGATCTGGAAGCAGGGCGGGGAGAAGCGGTCACTCTGGTAACCAACGGACGGATGGACAACCCAGACAGACTTTGGGCTTCTGCCTCTTACCGTGACGACGCAGCAAGAGTCGGAGTCGTTGTGCTTGAATTTCCATCACAGATACTCATGGAGCACCTTCCACGGTCCAGATTCTGTCCCGGGTACCGGGCGGCACAGTGGAGAGTGTTTGCACAAAGTCCTGCCCTGTCGGGGTTTGTTTCAGTGGAGGAGAAACACGGCAAACAGAGCAACCGCCGATCAAAAGGTGTCTGTGATTCAAGCTCTTGATTTTTTTTTTTTTTTTTTTTAACAGAGATCTGTACACAATGCTCAGGGCCCACATGCTGCAAATGCTCACCCTCTGCTGGACAAGTGGGGGTGTAGGAAGAGGCCTCGCCCATTAGTGGCACTGGGCTTCAGTAGTTCAGGGCCAGCCCTGGGGTCCTAACTTGGAGCTGCTCAGCCACACATAAGGACGCCTCCTCTCTTCTAAAAGGGTGGGCAGGATGTGGAACCGAGTGGGGGGGGAGGCTGTTAGTGTGCCTGGTCTCTCCCCTCCCACGCATACTTTTGGTATTCTAAACCTCATCTAGGTTAAAAAGTCCTCATAACTGGAGAAACGGTTTAGTAGTTTAAAAGACTGCTTTCCCCAGAGGACCCAGGTTCAATTGCCAGCATTTACATGGCAGCTCACAACTGTCTGAAACGCCAGTCCAGGAGATCTGATGCCCTCTTCTGGCCTCCACGGGCACCACAGCTGTCAGATGTAGGCAAAACATCCACACTCTTAAAAATAAATGAAATAAAAAGAAGTCCTCATCTTGTAAATTCTAGACTCCAAGAGCGTGTCTAGAGACAGGAAAAGCCACATCCTAGATCCAATAGGATTTCAAGTTCACAGCAGAGAAACAGACAGAGAACACCGTACACGGACTAGCTTCGTTTCTGCTTGGCTTGGATTAATGAGTCTGAGTCCATTTCTTACAAGAGCCCCATTGGCAGCCAAAAAATCGGTAACTTGGAAAGCAGAGGAGGGCCATGCTGAGGAGCAGCAAGAGCCGAGAACCCGGAAGCCGAGCTCTGGAGTTCCCGCTGGGCTTGCAGTCAACTAGCTCTGCTGGAGGGCTGCACTACAAGTCAGGAGATGAAAACCAGAATGCTTGGAGCCCTGGGGGAAGGTCTCACCCAAGCACGGAACGAACATGGCTAGGAACGGGGACTCTGCGAGAAGCCTGGAGGTAACCATAGGTATGAGCTACAGCATGCAGCTAGGATCCCAGCATCCCACGGAACTTTGGAGCTGCACCAGAATGAGGGGCTGAGATGCCTCCCTAGTGTTGGAGGGGTACGGCCACCGGTCTCCTGACGAGGAGAGTGTGCTCTCTGCGCATGGGCCAGCACTCACTGACACCCCTCCCCCCCAACACACCCCCTGGCCATCTGTCTGCTCTTTTAACCTCACCTTCTGGCTGAGTCCTCAGGGCCCTGCTCCCCTAACTGACCTCCAAGGGACTTCCACTCACCAGTCCACTGGGGGACAAGCAGTCAGTCCTCAGAGCAAAAGAAAAAAATACAGCAGCGAGGAGGGAAAGAAAGAGAAAAGAAACATAGACGGGGAGGGACCGTTAAAGGCTGAGCAAGGCTGGAGCACATGGAGGCAGACTGTTAGGAGAGTGAGGGATGCCGGCCAGATGGAGTCAGAACCATCTAGAGCAGTGGTTCTCAACCTTCCTAATGCTGTGACCTTTAAGACAGTGCCCCATGTTGTGGTGACCCCCTACCAGAAAACTATTTTGTTGCTACTCCATAAATGTAATTTTGCTACTGTTACGAGCCGTCATGTAAATATCCGATATGCAGGACATCTGATAGGAGACCCACAGAGGGGTCGTGGCCCACAGGTTGAGGACTGTTGGTCTAACACTTCTTTTATAGGCCAAGAGCCCAGGAAGGCACAGCTCCCCCAGTCCCCTCCAGCTCCTTGCATCTCCGTTCTTCATCTTGTCATTCATCTAACTTGGTTCTCCAAGTGCTGTAGACACTCCTTGTCCCTGTCTGTCCCCAGTGGTGGGGCGGTGGCTCAGCTCAGCTCCTGTCTTACACACAGGACATCTGGGAAGATCTCAGTTACTCTTCCAAAGGCGTCTCTCTATACTACACCCCAGACACCTACAGAGCCAACCAGGACAGTGGTCCGGTCAGAGCTTTGATGGTGACTGGGCAAAGGTGGTTTTTTTTTTTTTTTCTTGCTAGGATTCCAAATGCACTTGCATGGACGTACATGTTTATGAAGGGCAAGGGGAGTGTTGTATCTACAATTCCAACAAAGGGGTTTTGGATTTCATACATCAGGGGCTAGGAAGGGTGCAGGTAAGTGGTCTTACCCAAAGATAGGAATCAAGGCACACTTAGTAATATCTGTGATTAATTATTTATAATTGAATCTGTCATAATCAATGTGGCCTATTCCTCCTTATCTGGACACAAGATAAACTGTTTTCACGCTTTATTTATTTATTTTTGCTTAAAACTGGAAGTAGAGCATGGAATGTGTTTATGGTCCAGGCTAGTCACGGGGTCTGTGGCTTTCAGGATGAGCAGTCGAGAGAGGCCCTGACAGGTGTGATAATGTCTTACTAGGGATCACCTGAATTGTATTAACAAGTTGCAGCTATTTACCATTCAAATGAGTTGGTTTATTACCGACATACTATTTAAGAATCAGAAGGCTAAAAAAAAAAAAAGAATCAGAAGGCTAACGCAGAAATTATAATCCCATCCTGAAATCAATCCGTGGAAAAGTATGCACGATATCCATGGAACAGAATCCTCTCCAGGATGTTCCTGAGAGTGCTAAGAATGCTTGGGCTGACAGATGACACTGACTCACTTGGATCTTCTCAGGCTCAAGCCAACCATTAATCTTCCCTCCAAGTTCTCGGAGACTTTTCAAGAAGCCTTAGAAACCAGACCATGGAGGAAAGCGGCCCAAGGTTCAGCCAATCCCCCCATTCTTCTTCTTCTCTCTGCGGCAGCCAATCCCTTTGAAACATTTCCAAGGAGCTCCGTGGGAGGCAGATGTGCTATATTGTGATTTGGACCCTTGATCTTGATGACACTGAATGGCTCCAGTCCGTGTGTTTGCCGCTGCCGAACAAACGGAGCTTGGCGGGGCTGTTTGTACATGTGCATGCGTTTGAAAGTCAATGGTCGCTTCCTTCCCTACCAACCACTGAATGCAACATGAGCAACCAGCCTCGCAGGCATTATTATGCTTGACTGCGACCACTTGGTCCTGTCGGAGGAAGACTCCCAGCTTTCCCTGATGGAAGTACGTGGCCCTGGGGAAAAAAAAATAAAAGGAAATTGGGCAATAGTTTTGTGTGCTTTCAGCTCTATCATGGATGGTTTTCAGCAGGAAACTAAAGAACAGACTCAAAAGAATCTGGTTTCCCGTTCATGGAGGGTGATGCCAGGTGCATGGGGCATTATTGTTTCATACCCACGAGCCAGTCATTGTCAATCACAGCGTTAAGTCATAACAACAACAGGACTGTGGTTTCAGGCTTTGCCTTTGGCATGACACCACACACCTTCACTTTCTTTATTGCCTTTTTCCAAATCCTAGGGAGCTTTCTTTTCTTTTTAGATTTCTTCTCTCCCCAAAGAACTGTATCTCATTGTTTTGCTTCACACAACCTTTCAACCCAAGCCAGCCAACTCCCAACTCTCCTCAGCCCTTTCTTAAGCAGAAATCATATATACCTAATTACTAGTGCATCACATAGGGTTAAAATAAACCCACTGTGTATTGGCCCTTCAACAATCCTGCTTTTCCTCTGAAAAGGGCTCATTCCTTAAGACTGGCTTAGAGGGAGGAAAACCTCTCACATCATATTTTTCTTGCTTTCCAGGCTGATCTGGAAGGTGATGATAGGTCATAAGCCATAGCCTCTGCAAGGATGTTACAACCCGAGAGCAGGCGGAAAGTGCATATGTGCTTGGAATGTAACAAAAGGGGAAAGTTACCAGTGTGCTTTGGACGGGACCCTGAGGTTTTAACTCTTTATCCAAACCGAGAGCACGGCCAGTCCTGTTAGCCACTCAGATGTGTTCTGCCGGGATGCATTAAAATGGAGGGTTAAGCAGTCATCTGATCACACCCTCCCCTCCCAGCCAGTTGGCTTAGTGGTTTAGAGCTGCGGGCCTAGGCCCAGCTGACTCAATTTCTAACAGCCCCCTGGTTTTCTCTCTAGCTCCAGGGAAATCCATGCATGTTCCTGCTCTTTTGCGAAAGAGAAAACCCTTGCCTTTCAAGGCTGTCACCAAGAATGTCAGCATCAGTGAAGTCCTGGGATTTTCCTCCCTGTTCTGTTTTAGGAAACCTTAGCAAGCAGTCCTAGGTATGTGCTACCTGAGTGTGGTAAGTGCTAAGTATGATGATGGACATGCCTGTGGATCTCTGCTCTGAATGGGCTTGGGAGTGTTGACAAGGCAGTGTTCCTAGTAATGAGAAGGCAGAACCATGGGCAGAGTTGCTTTGCTATTTTGTGTGTGTGTGTGTGTGTGTGTGTGTGTGTGTGTGTGTGTGTGTGTGTGTGTGTATGTGTGTGTGAATTCTGGGTAATAAAAATTGTGCAATCCTTATCATTCCCATTTCCCAGACGAAGAAATAGAGACTCCGGCACACTGTTAGAATGATCAAAGCCATGACTGGACCTAGGCTGTGAAGGCCTTTCTAGGATCCCTCTGTTAAGGGTGGTACATGAGTGAACTGTGCGCTAACTTGTAGAAACAAACCGTAACTTGCTGTCATAACAGGGGGAACCTTGTCAGTCACAATCCACCATCTCACTTGGCACAGTGCATTCTGAACTGTTTTTGGCCGGACGGCTACCCCAGTTCCAGAGTCACCAGCTGAAATCTACAAAACTAGATTTGTTGTGATTCGGCCTTTAAGCTCTCTCTGAGCTCTTTCTTCATTTGTGCTCAGCCTGTCCTCGGTTGCCTGAGGTCCTTCAGTCCCCGTCCTTTCCAAGAGAGCCAGAATTCCCTGCCTTTTTCACACACACACCACAGTCTGCCCACTCCCAGGCCTGTGCTGCCTCCTGTGGCTTCCTAGGAGAGTGACTGCTTGCTCTGAGATGGTTGGACTGGCTGGGATCGATTTCCCTTCCCTACCAGCTCATCCTTGCCATCAATCCTTTTCTGTAGAAGGCTTTCTTGAACTGCAGACTTAGTATCTGGGACGGCATCTAGACGGGCCATTAACTTGACGGCTGTAGTGATTTGTTCCTTGAAAGCAGGAGCAGGGACAGGTTGAGAAGATGGGGGACAGTGGCCCCGTGGAGGACAGGCGCTCCTGTGGGGTGGGGTCTTAGCTCAGAGTCCCAGGGAAGTGCACTGTGAGAGAGGCTTGTTGCAGAAGGCTATTCAGATCAACACTGAGTCCATCCACAGAGTTTAGGGGACCTTGGGAGCCTGGGGCAGTAGGTTAACTGGGTGGCAGAGTGCCTGGAGCTCTCCAGACTTTAATGAAAAGGACTCTAGAAATAAAGCACTAAAGGAAAGTCCATTTTGGTCTCTTTTAAAAAGTGTATTTTATTATGTGTGTGTGTGTGTGTGTGTGTGTGTGTGTGTGTGTGTGTGTGTGTGCACGTGTGTGTTGCTTGCATGTATGTGTGTACATCACTTGTACACCTGGTGCCCTAGGAGGGCACTAGATCTCATAACTGGAGTTATACAGATGGTTGTGAGCCTCCATGTGGGTGCTGGGAATGGAACCCAGGTCCTCTAGAAAACAAATAATAATAAGAGCAGGGCTCTTAACTGGTGAGCCATCTCTTCAGCCTCAACAATCTACCTCTTAAGCCCTCAAATGCAACAGCAGGTGACACTTGGAGAAAACTTTCAGAGGTCAGAACTGTGTCTGCTCCACTTAGACCTTGACCTTCCCTTAGACCTGGAGGCATGGAATCAAATAAGGCACTGGGCGAGTATTTCCCCAAATATGCTCAGGAAATCTCGCATGTCAAAATCACCCTGTGAAGGAGTAGTATGGAATTTAAAACCCTGGGCTCTATATCTAGGAAAATAGACTCTCTGGAATGGGACAGGATTTTGCATTGTAAATATCCTGCACCTCACCCCTTGATTTTTTCCGCACTTTGGAGACAAAGCTTAGAAATATCTTGTCCATGATCCTATTCTAGAACTGCAGGGTCTTGAGAGCCAGGATGAAGGATTTTGCTCACCACTGACATCCGCACAGTGCATGTATCGTATCAGATTGTCACATCCTCAGCTCAAATTGAAGTGCTTGGTAAACTCACACTGACTGTCCTTAAGGGGCTGAGTCTACTTACTCTTCTTTGGGAGAATCAACCCCTCCTTCCTGTCTTCCTCTCTTGACTCAACTATGTGTTCTGAATAGGAGCAGCCCTCTGTGTGTGAGTTCAGCCCTCTAGCTGCACAATGGGCTTGAAACTGAGCCTGTCACTGGTCCCATTTCTGCTCCCGTGATGGATGCAGAAGTCTGACCTCGATTCAAACCAAGCCATTCAGAATCTTTCCCCCTTGTGGTCCTGAGGCCATGAGAGCGATTTCATTGCTACAGTAGCTGTAGCAAACAGCATGGAGGATGTGACTTTGGGAGATTAGACACCTGCTAAGGGGAACTGAGAGATTAAAGAGCTCACATTGTTGGTGCTCAAGGTCTTCAGGTTCACGTGGTTTGATAATATGAACCAATAACCAATGTATGTAGTCCTGGGCTTCCTGGTTCTCAGAACCAGGGATTAAATTTCCCAGGCTAAATCATTAGGATGTAATTATGAGTAAATGTGGACTGGTCAGTCATATTAGGGGAATAGGAGTGGAAAGGTCGTCAATCTCCTCTCTTTTCCTCCATGGGATTTTAATAAAAATGTATCTCTATGTATTTAGGATGGGACTAGAAAAAGGTGTTTATATCCTTTTTCTCAATGAACCTGAAACATCCATCTATCCCTTTTTTAACATACTATTGATAGATAGAAATAAGCCGATGATATGGGACCTTTCTATTCCATATAAGACTGGATATTGTGTAGCAGTTTCCTCTGGGTTAGACAGGATCATTGCATCTTGAATCAGGAAGGTGTGATAACCCCTGTTAGACCCTCATGAAATGGGGCCTATCAACATTTCCTTATGGAGAGAGGGAGAGAGAGGGCGGGGGGGGGGGGGTTCACAGGCCTTCCCCCAATCCTCATAAGGCCCCACGTCTCCCCGAGGTCACAGAAAAAGCAGATGGTCATGTTAACAGTGTCCTGTTGACAGTGGTAGTGTTGGAGATGGCCGTGGTTGTGGCGGTGATGATGGTGGTGGTACTCACGGGGCTGGAAGGGACACTGGCCCACTTGAGCACGTAGCTCCGGCAGGCCTTGCCCTTCTGATTCTCTGCCTTGATAAAAATCATCCAGATGGCATTCCTAAAGCTAGCCCCCAAGGTCTCTTCCCTCATCTGGCCCATTCCTCCTCCTGAGGCTGACCACCAAGGTCCAGCTATCGAAGTATTGAAGCCAGCACTCAAAAGCCCCCTTTGGCTCTCCTAATTAACATGCTCAATTAAAATTAATGCAGGGGTTTCCCATTTTACCTTTATAAACCACCATTTGCCTATGGGCCGCATCTGTCTCCTCTCTATCCAGAGGCAGTCCCCTCTTCCCGGTCCCCTTCTCCCTCATCCTCTATCTCTTGTCTTTGTCTCTTATTTCCTGCCTTTTGTCCCCCTGGGGCAAATAAATCTCCTTTGTGCTGAGAACTTGGCCTTGGGGTGCCTTGAGCCAACTTCGAGGTTCCCTACAGTGCTTGTGATGGTATTGAGGATGGTGATTATGGAAAGTACCACCAGAAAAAGGCGGACCTTCTCATTTTCTTGCATACCTGAGGCATTATCATCAGTGCATTATGTTCATCAGTGAAATGTGTACCTAAAATATAAGGAAGATTCAATAGAAACTGACATAAAACTTCATTCAACTGTTTCCTGTCCATTGGCTAAGTGAAAATCATTGACCATACCATCAATGCCTCTCCCTTACGTTTAAGGTGAGCATTTTATAGTTGTTGTTGTTATTATCATTATTAGTGTTTGTGTGTGTATTATGTGTATTGAGGGGGGAGGTTGTGCCATTGTGCACATGTGGAGGTCTGAGATCAGCTTTACGGAGTCAGCTCTCTCCTACTTTTACTCAGGTTTGGGGGAGTCAGTGCGCGGTGCGTGGCAAGCACCTTCCCATGGCGAGGACCATCTCGTCAGCCCTTCTCTCCGGCCCCTAAGGTGAGCATTTAATAAGTT